TAAACAACAAAACACCTAAGAAATTGCAAGAACAGAATGAATAACTGGGTGAAGGAAGGAGCAGAACAGGCTGCAGTTTCCCATGATCACAAACATCTTAAGATCAGCTGTTAGGCTAAAAAATGAAAAGAAAATAGCAATTTTTTGCAGAAATGCTCACAACAGTCTGCCCAACTATCTCAGCAACAAATAAATGCCCGAGTGATCTTGTCTACCTACAGAAAGATGAACTAAAAATATGAGGTGCAAGTGACCTTGGGGAGCTGAGGTATCACAAAACTCTTTGTCTTGATTTTAAGGCTCCCAAAGAAACCCCACACCATTATCCTTGCATGTTTGGTGGGTGTATTGTGAAAAGCAGGACACTGGAAAACATTATAAAATATGTCTCTGAACAATCAAAGCAAAAAAGGTTTAATTTTTTTTCTTTTTGTTTTAATTGCAACTCCTGTCCTTGTCCATTGAATTTGCCTTTCCACATAGAGAACTGTGTTCATGCTCTGGGCATTGTCTTCGAGCAGAATGCTTTTATTTCCTCAGAAATTATAATTAGTCTCTGGTATTAAATAAAATTAAATAATATATAGTCTTTGGAAAGACTAAAAGCACTTTCCTCCTTAACAGCTTACATCTTTGTCTGTGACAGCTATTTCATTAACTTTCAGTCATCAGGGAGCTCTCAAGAACAAAGACTCAAATTGTCAGAAGAACAATTAGACTGAAGAAGAAATGAGATAATTTCATTGTTTTCTCCTACAGAAAATTACAAAATCATGAAAAAAAGCCCAGCTTTTCCTCCCTGTTTAGGTACCCTCCATACTTCAGTCAAATGCCCTTCTATCAGTAGTGATGATGTTTTAAGCCCAAACTGAAGCAACAAAGAAACTGCCCACTGTTGTCATTAAAAATACAAGTCAACAATCACCCTACCAACTGAAATTTACTGGCCAACCAAAACACATTTTATGGGACAGTGTACTCATTTGTTTGGTCCAAACAAAAGGAATTATTTGCTACTGAAAAACATCTGTCTGGTGTCTATGTGCCTGCTGTTTATCTATACACAGACATTTATCAAGGTGTCTGAGGCATGGAGCCCAGGGACAGGTGTGCTCTCACAGAGGGAAGTGCACAGACAGCTCAGATGGTCCAACATCCACCAGGGCCTGCCAATGCCTCTCTCAGATTGTTCACATTTACTGCACAGTGCCAAGACAGCAGACAGGATTCTAGAAGCCATCCCCTCTGGAGAGGATGCACAATGTACCTGAAAGTTGTGAGATGGCAGAAGAATGAGGAAACTTTTGGCACTGCTACAGCAGCAAGGCTGCCAGGGCACCCTCCTCCTGCAAGGACTGCACCCTGTGCACGTGTACTAAGACACAACTTCAAATTAACCAAGGTATCTTGAAGCCCAGCAACTGGACAGGCCCAAGGAGTAGTGCAGAATGGTGTTCAGCAAAACAAAGCATATGTGAACACTAAACTAATCTCTCTGATCTATAACCTTTCCAAGTGGTTTAAAATAAGTGGCAAGGTTGCCAGCAGTAGATGCTGAACCATACCTGATGCACAGCACTGAATCCCGCAGAATTTGTCAGGCCGTTGGCTCCCTGGTAAATCCCTGTGGTGCCTGAGGGAAAGAGTGTCACAGTCATAAAATACATCAGCAATCAAAGTAACAGTGTTATGTTAATTCAAATAATTTCCAACAGGAAGCAAAGTACCAGCTCACTACAAAAAAATTATGGCACAAATCGGAGGCTGTAAAATCTCTGGGCTATTAGTGGGGTTTACTGACTGAAAGGCACTCATTACATACACTAAAACATTGATTATTTTTCTGGGAAGCAGCTGGAACACAAGGATTCAGCCCAGATTTGAAATTCAGTTACTTCTTTTTACAATAAGTAATGGAATATTATTTTTTATCTTCTCCTTCTGTAGAAAAACCCCTCAGGCCACATATACATCCTCCCACATGCACTCTTTCAAGCATGGGTATCCTGGCATCCATCCTAACAGATCAGGCACCCAAGAGTTTTCAGAAGGAAAGTTTGTTCCCTGGTGTTGATATTCCTAATTTGAGAACAATATTGCTGAGACTTCTTGGACAGCAAGGAGCAAATATATTTCTTTGTCCTGGGATATTAGGAAGATAAAGGATGGACATGGTTCTGTCCCAAGCAAAGCAGCTGATGTTCAGCCTCAGCTGGAGGAAGCACTACCACAAAGATTTTGTTTGGAGAAGTAAATGTTCAGGTAAAATCAGGAATTAGCTGTCTTTGCCTCCCTTCAGGCCAGTAGCAGCACAGCCATAAGCTCTCCTTAAGCCATAAGCCTCCCTCTCAAGTTCTAGCCTTGATTAAACCTCACTCCATGCTGGTTTTGATTTCAGTATTTCTCATTTCACGTGGTATGTGAAAGAGGTATGATTTTGGTGCTGTCTGGCTACACTGGACTTATCTTGGTTTAATTCTGTCACCTCCATGTACCATCAGAGTGAGCCCTCATCAGGCCTTTGCCCTTTTTTTTCTCATCTGGCATCTCACTGTGTGAATGACTTCGAGCAGTGCTGCTTTAACCACTGACACCCTGCACGTCCTCATGTGGCAACCATCCTCCCAAGTTCCACTTGCTTGTTTTTATTTTGGGACACTAGATCAGCTGGGGAATGGACAGCTGAACAAACTCCACTCTGCCAAGTGCTGCTACAAAGCACAGGCACTAAGAAATAAATCTCAAGCCAAAAAGGACCAAGAGAGAGGACTCTGCCCTCCAGAACTAATTTGTTGCCACACATGGTCTTTAAAAAGAAAACAGCAGGGAGGAAGGAAAGAGTGCAGGTGACTGCCAGGTACCTGGAGGCCTGGGTGTCCCCAAGGCCCAGATGTGCTGGCTGGGAGCTGAGCCAGTGCAGGTGGGCTTGGGTGATGCCTCCTCCTGGCATTCCTGCCTTGGAGGCAGCTCTGGGTGGACCAGTCCCTCCTGCTTCCAACAACCCATATGGGGAGACTGCCAGAGCAGCATCCCGAAGACAGCAACAAACTCAGCTCTTGGCATTTTCCCCACTTCCCACCTGTCACAGGCTTCTGCAGGTTTTCCAAAAATCACAGGTATGCAGCAGTATGAATATATTCCTGTGGTAACAGCATTTCTCACCACTGTGAAGGAGAGTAATAGAGCCCCAGTGCTTACAGGCAAAAACAACTTTCACAGAAGACAAAACAGCTCTTGTACACCAGAGCTTGAAACAATACAGGGGGGAATTTTTGATTTTCCTAAACTGTCATTTAGAAACAATCCATCATCCTTTATTAAAGCTGTCAAGAGGAGGATGAGTTACCTCGAGGGACTCACGCTTTATGTGTAAATTGTGATGAGAACATGTTTATTGCTGTGCTACCTGCACATGATACTGGAGCTTCCTGGTTTCCAAACAGAGACAGTGAGGAAAAGGAGGGATTTACACAGCTGGATTAAACTTACTCAGAACTTTGTACCAGCTGTGAAGAGTGAGTGTGTCCATGCACACACAGTGAGTGAGCAGGGAGAACAGGGCAGGGATGCAGGGATGAGAGGATGGGGAATGGCTGGTGCTCCACAGCTTCCCACAGTGCACTGTGACTGCACCCAGTGGGGTGGATTTTACACTGGTTTAGTAAAATGTATTTCTGCCACTTTGGCTGAGCTACCCAAGTTCAGGTGTCCCTACAGGCCACTGCAGGCTGGCTCCCTCTGCCCAGGGGATTTTCCAAAGGAAGGACAGATCTGTCATTGTATCCTGACCAAGGAGGACTACCATCTCAGCACTGTTTGTCTAAACTGAGATCAAACACAAGCCTTTTCCTTGCCCTCCAGCAGTGCATTCAGAGATTTGAACCCCCTCCCTGCAGTACCCTTTGAGAGCTGCTAAGCTCAGTGTGTCTTGGCAGCTCAGTGTTACAGCAGAATAATTACAGATAAGGACACTGGGAACAACCAAAGTCAGTAAACACTTGGAATTTCTTCCCAGCTGAACAAAGATGAAAAGCTGGGGAAAAAAATTATCAATTATCTGCATGGAAAAGAAAGTTGTTAAAGATTCAAGTTCAGCAATATTTGTCTTGGGAACTATTATAGCTCAGACCCTGTTCCACTGCACAGGCCAGGAAGGAGAGACCATGTTTTCAGTGATGGACCCTCAGTTCAAATGGCAGGAAAACAAACAAGTTCCACAGGCAATGGAGACAAAGATAAACCCCCTCTCTCCATAAACAGAGAATGAGGCCTGCTGGTCACAATTTCTGTGAGCAGCCTTGTAGAGTTCAGCAGTTCGGAACACATACCAGAACCAGCCCCAAATGTTTGCTTTTCCTCCTTAAGTTGTTGGTAGGAAATAAACACTTCCATAACAAAACGAATTCTGCCAGGTGCAATTTCAGTTTTGTGTCAGTAAATGTTACACTCAAAAAACAGGAAAATTATCAACAGATACTGCAATTTAGCCCTATTTCCCATGTAACCTTTTTTCCCCTCAAACACTTTCCCATGTAATAGCACCTCTTGTAATATTCAGAAAAGGACTGAAGTTTGAAAGTGGTGCTATGTGGAATGGGGAACTCCTGGGAAGTCCCTCAGTAAGCAATATACATGAATGCCTGGCCCCCTCCCAAGTCTGCCTATTTCTATATCACTTTGCTTTCACATATATTGGCTTTTTTCCATGGACCTCTGAAAACAACACTCTCAAACTGAGGCTGGTTTTACATTTGCAGTGCTGTAGAGGTGGGAGCAAGCGATTTGTTTCCATCTATCTTGGTAGCTCAATGCCAAGTAATTGCATTCAAACTCCCTGCAAATCAGAAACAAGCCTAGGATCTCCCCCTCTGGATCTTCTCCATATGGAATATGGCTCACATCTGTGTTCAATCAAGCCAGTTGCTAAATGTCACAATGCCCTCATTCACAGGTAGCTTAAAGAACATTTAGCTCATAATAAAACAATCTGAACTCTGAAGTAGAACAGCTCTTCAGATGTGTGGTACTCTAAGTGTTCCTGTAAAGTATTTCTATCACAAACACACTCGCATGGAAAGGCATCCACATGCCAGGCAGAGCCAGTGCCACGATTCTTCCCCGGTAAATAGATGTGGCCCTTCTCTATGTGAGTGTCCAAGGCCAGCATGTACAGAAAAACTCTTTGTGAGCTGATTAATGTTCTATTCCTGCTCTCAAACAGATGGATTTCATTTGCTATTTTCCCTTCACTCACTTTTTAATTCAAGCATTCTAAAAAACCCATGCCATGGTCAATGATAATTTCAATGGTGCGTGATCTGGCCTGTGCTCCTGCAAAAGCTTTCATGCCAGCTTCTCACCCTCTACATCTGTCTTTCAGTCACTGCAGTGTCAGGCTGCATTTCTTCCCCTCCTTGCCAGGTATGAGCAAGTAAAGAAAAGAAAGGAATATTCATAGGTATTTTCAGAGTATTCAGAACCCAGCTCTGGCACTGCTAAAAAAAAAAAGGTTTTTTCAGCTTATGAATGTTATGTATGATACAGGAATGTTGGTGTATTAGGGAGTGGTGATTATGAAGACAGGATGGGCCTGCGGTGTAGTTCAGATCAAAATCACAGCAAGCTTTGAAAATCAGGTTTGTGTCCTTGTCTTTCACAGGTCAGAGGAGCCCTGACAACAGGGAGGTGTTCTCCAAGACGGCTGTACTGCTTAAAAGAGAGTAAGCTGCTATATTTAGAAGAACAGATGGTTTGCACTTTCAACATTCAGTGAAATACCCAACAGTCAGAGGAGGAGATGGCCAGGTTCAACACAGGTGGGCAGTTTCAGTGTTTATCACAGGTCCTGGGCAGCCAGCAGCAACTGTGAGCCCAGGAACACTTAAAGATGCAACACTGAGGGTGGCTACCATGGGCATTTCTGAGTATGTTTGTGTCGTGATTTAACTCCCAAAAAACAGAATGATGAAGCTTAGACTTAAGCATTTCCTCTAACTTGTAGATGAAACGCACAATGGTTCCACAGAGAGTTCTCTCAAAGGATTATTTGACCATTAAGGACTAATAAAATAAATGCCTGCAGGGGTCAGCTGAATTGCATTGTATTTTACAAGCCTGCATAAAATGGCTTGTGCATTCTGGCATCATCAGGCTGCTCTCCTGGAGGAAGCACTGCTGACTGTGAGTGATGCAGGCAAAGGCCCCATCCCACCTCCCTGCACAGTGTGCACTGCTCTGTGCTATCAACATCTGCCTGAAGGCTTCCATGGTCATTCAGAGGTTCTTTGCAGTGCTTTAGCTCTCTGACAAGCTAATGTTTCCTGCAGTAAATACTGCCTTCTCCTAGCTGCTACATTTTTAGTGAGAGGTTAAGCACTCATCAAAACTACCTCCCACCAGCTATACTCTAGTGCCTTGTAAGGTTCCAAATCCTACAACATCTGCCTGCATTTACTGGGCAAGAAGACTCATAAAACCTTGCATGGTTGTCAGCTGTGGAAGCATTTCAAGACTATCTGACCTGTTAAAGGAGAAGAAAAACTCAACCCATATGTACTTTGCAGCAGATTGCTCAACTGTTTGACATTAGGTGTAATGGACCCTTCCCTGAAATGTCTTGTATTTCTGTCTGGAAGGTCTCAGACAGTGCAGGGAAGAGCACACTGCATTAACCTAGATGAAAAGCATCATTCTACAATGTTACACCATTTGACATCAGCAGTGTCTGGTAAAGGACGTTGCTCCCAAAAGCATACGAACACCTCCTGCAGATGATACTCTCAGATAGAAAACCCATTCGAAGTCCATTTGTCTCCCACCACAATCCCATGCAGTCCTGTCAGCCTGGCCAGGTGTTTGAGGGCACTCTGAATGGTGATATAAAACACATTTCATGGTTCAGCTTTTATGACTCAAGGCTCTTCCCCTGCTCCTGGGAGTACTCAACCCACAGAGCCTCAAAGAGCTTTAATAAGTGATGACCAGAGCAGCTTTAAGAGCCTGGCTTTTACCACCCTTTTGAGCTTGGTCATCTGTATAGCTCAATCCAGATCAACAATGGTGTTGAAAGTGCTGGGATGGTTTATAGTTACTCTGAGGATTTGAACCATTGGAAAGCAGTTAGGTTTTACTGTACTTTGAGAAAGTGTTTTTAACCACTTCTAACAATGCCACAGCTTAAGAGGGATATCACACTGGACTGTCTTCAAAAACAAAACACAAATAAATGTTTTGGGCCAAAAAGTGATCCTTACAGCAAGGATATAGACTGCTTCTATGCAATACCTTGTTTAAAAAAACAACCAGCAAAACTGACTTTATTTGGGTGGCTCCATGGACACCAAAGAATAAAGATTCCTGCGGGTGCAGTTTCATCCTGGACACAATCCTTCACTGATGGATAACAAGACATGATAAAGGAAAGCTGGATTTGCCACCTCCTATACTAATTAGTGGCCATGAACCTCCAGTTCCCAGGTCAGCACTCAAACCTAAGCAGCCTTGTCACATCTACTGCCATGCCATTGGCATAAAAACTTGCCCTGTCAGTACCGCTGTTATTTAGCATTTCTCTTTCTCTTGAGCGAACTAAATCTCCAAATATCAGTGGAAAAGAGGGAGCTGGTCAGCACATCTCCACTCTTTGACCCATTAGGATCCCTGTAAGTCTCAACTGAGTACTCTTGATCCAGGCATCCGTCTTGAGGCTTTTTCAACCTCCTTGCACTGCCTCAGTACTGCAGGGACTCCAGAAGAGCCACAATGGAAAAAAATGTAAGAAATTTGACAACAGTAGAGTGATCTTTGTCCTGCTAATGACTTGTCAGTGTCAATCTGCCAGTTACAGACTTTCTAAGTCAAATTTTTATCCTCCTCTTTTTATCTGTGATAGCTCCTCTTCAAACAGTGCAGGTACTCTCATAGTTCCAGAGGTCACAGTACTGCAGTGCAGAATTGTCAGTGTTTAAACCCTGCCAATATAAACAGAAGGGGCATCCAAATTACTTATAAAAAGGCCCATGCAAGAGGGTTGTCCACTGCCAGCAGAGCAGTTCAGAAACTCCTGAAACAGCCTGTGCTGACTGAAGCAGTCAGGCTGAACTTGTCCCCAAACTTCATCCCAGACTCTCATCCTATGGCTGAGTTCTGTTTTCTCCACCACAGCATCACCTCACACAGTGCTTGGAGACGAGATACAACAAAAGCAGTACCAGTACTGCACAGCATCATGAATCTGATGTTTCCTAACTTTCAAATGCTTTGCTATTCAGGTATGATGTTTCTTGATACAGATTTTTATATGTAATTTTACACTAGCTCTTCTATTGCCTTCTAGGCATTTTCAAAATCATTAGGTATACTGTATCAATTATTCAGTGAAGCTTCCATAACATTTTAGTATATTCTTTGCCAAGTGCACTGTAAGCTGAATAATCAAGGCCAAGTTCATGATTTCCCAAGCTGTTACCATCCTATGTTTTTGGATTTTTTTATATCCTACAGAAGCAATGAAAATAAAGTCCACAAAGAGAAGTCTCTGTGACATCCACACATCTCTGTGTCTGTTTTCTGTGCTGATTTTGCTCATTAACCCAAGATTTGAGATTTCTATCTGACCTCCACCAATGCTCCCAAGACATTCAAGCAGCATGGTAGGGAAATATCACTTCTTTCTTCTCTGTAGATTCCCCCTTTCTCACCACACAAACTTTTCTCTGTATTTTCCTTACCCAGTCCCTTTACTACTGCCCCTGCCTTACTGCTGCTCTCTGACTCAATTGTCACAGCTGCTCCCATCTCCCCAGTGCCACCTCTGCAAGCCTGATGATAAAGTCACATAAAAACCTCAAGGAGACACAAGGATACCTCCAAAATAAACCCCCTGCCTCAGAGAAGATTCCTCTTTTGACTGTACCAGTCAATATTTAATTTCTATTAAATGGCAGGAGTTAGAGCAGAGCTTTCCCCTTGGGTAGCAGTAGCACAGATCCTTGCAGCCTACAGTGCATCACTGTCAACACCTTTGCCTCTCCCACAGACTTCCCTCTCCTAGAAGTCAGCTCATTTTAAAACAAAGTAAATGGAGCACAGTCAGCCCCTGGTGTTTAAAAATCTTTGAAAGGGAGGCTGTGCTGTTATTCTGAGGAACCTTGTATTTACACTGCAGAAAGTGAGGTCTGACCCCTCCTGAAGAGAGGCCTCTCCCTGCTGAACCCACCATGGAGTGGAGCACAACTTTACTGCCACGGTTTTAGACTGCAATTCAGCTGTGAAGCAGAAGCTTTTGAAAGAGGCTGCTCGTTTTCTCCTGAGGTTTTAATTTTATCAATCTAAGGCATCTATCTGAGTGACAGTTTGCTGAGAACATGGTCTCATTTTCCCTTATTGGGACTTCACATGGATTCACTATCTGGTGCCAAAGTGTGATCCACCTTCTCAGGTGTAGATTGAAATTTCATCACTATCTTCATCACCAAGTACTTCAAGAATCAACTTTAAAAAGTACTTCAAGAATCAACTTTAAAACTAAACATGGACCTTCTTTGCAAAATTCATGCAGGCAGAGGTAACTGTTCAAGCCAAATTGGTATTTATGATCTCATATTAAATTTTTAACACTGAAATTGGCACACAATTGCAAGAAATTCTGGCATCTGTTGGAAAAATATTTGTCTAGATTATCCAGACATCAACAAGGGTCAAAATGTTTTCAGCATAAGAAAACATTTTAATTGGTTAATTATTCAGATTTTACTTGTTCTCGGGCCAGGAGAACAATTGATAACCAAGTGTTCCACAAACATAAGCAACATATATATAATTAATCCATTTTAAATCAGTGCTGCACAAAAGAAATGCTAATTTCTATTCATTCACTACTTCACAGCTCATCAGAAAGGCTTTACAAAGAAAACAAATGTTCAGCAGTAGCAAAGAATTTCACTGCATAGGTCTTTGGTCCCAAATTTATGTTTGTCCCAAGCTCAACACTGCTCTGCAGTTCCTTGGCAAAGAAAGCTATCCCAGTTACATAACTGATTTTTCCTTTGTAATGTAAAAAGTATTTTGTGGGTAGATAGATTTGGATATTAAAAAACCCCAAAAAAGCAGTTGAATCTTTTCCTGCCCAACAACAGCATCCACAGTGGTCTTTGGCCAGAGTTTTAACTGTTGTGCAACTTCATAGTTTCATACCAGCTGTCATTTCAGCAATTATAACTGAAGAGCAAGGCATTGTCTAGGAATTAATGACAAGCTGCGAAGAGATGGCCTAATGTGCAATCAAGGGGTAGCACATGCTCTTGCAACCACAGGAAATGCTCTGTAAGCTGGCTGTTATTGCACTCTCTGCAGAGCTGATGGGTTTCTGGGTCAGCTAATGTGCTGGCACAATTTTCTCTTTGTATTTTACATAGCTCACTAAATGCTAAGTTTCTTATATTCCAAAGATATCTCCCCCACCCTCAGCAGTTTCCTCAGCTGCCAGTAAGTTTTTGGGGGCAGAACTGGGAGGTAATCTTTGTGTCTAATGTTCAATTTCTATCATCAAATAATAATTTAACCAGAAGTCTGAGCAAATCACCGAACTGCTAAATTATCACAAAATGTAAACTTAGAAAAATGTGTGCTAAAAAGAAATATCTAATACCAAGCCCAGGGTGTTTGGTGATTTGGTGCTGTAATTGAACACTTACATGAGGATTGATTAAGAAATTAAATGGACCTTGAAGAAACATTTCTTTCTCAGCATGACAAATTTACCACTTTAAAGGCAAAAATTTAATGCAAGCTGTTAGCTGCTCTCCAGATTCATGACTCTAAAAGTGAGTGCCATCCCCACACTGGCCACATGCATATTTCAGATCTCTTCATTATGAAACAAAAAAATTTCTAAATGCAACAGTGACATGGAGCAGCCCCCTACACAGCACTTGTTAAAAAGAAAGAGAGGAAAAAAAATCAGTCCTTCAGAGAAAATATGTGAATACCAGATTCCAGTCTGAATGTTACTTGAAGCCTAATGATACCTTGGCAATTAAAATCTTTATATCAATCCACATTACCTTTGCAATCCACAGTACCATAGCATTTTTATGAGCTACGGAACTTGCTAATCTCATCTTCGATATTTGTATATGTGTGTGACACTTTATTTGGCTAACAAACTCTTCCACAATCAATTTTGTTTCATGCTAGGGAAGCATGAAAATGGATTTCCCCTTCTGGCTGGCTGTAAAATAGCTCTTTTTCTTTACCACTTACTGACCAAAAGGCTGTTAAATCTCCATTTTTGCTTCCAGTGGATCGTGTTCTTGCTCAAGAATCAGGATGAATTGACAGCTGGAGTTGAGGGTGAAAAGCTGAAAACCTTTTACACCTGCATCACCTGTGTTTGTACTGCAAACAAACAGACCTGAACAGAGAGCAGAATCTGCCCTCACAAGTACCATTTACTGCTCACAGCCTCACAGGTAGCCCAGCCTGCCAGTGCTGCTGCCAAACAAACACCAGAGGGAACAAACCAGCACCAACCATGCTGGCACTCACTGAAGGACAGCACTTGTCCTAGAGCCCTGTGAGACAAAAAACTGCTACCCAAGAGGTCATTTATTCCTTGGTGAGTGCTGTAACACCTACAGTGGGCACTTATGTGCTGCTGTAACTCGTATCTGAGGGGATAGTGAGGAGGAATCACGAGTGATGAACAATCTGACCACCCACAGATAAGATCATTATGCTGCTCTGGGAGCTGGTCCTCAGTGGAGGCAAACAAAACAAACTTATTTCACTTATATACCTGAGCTATTAACACCTTACAATACTTGCAGAGAATAGCTTAGAAAAGATTTTTTTTTCCCTTGCACTTTATAATAGAAAACAGCAGCAGTTGGAGATACCTTCTCTCCCCTGACCATCATTCTCTTCATAATCTCTCTTCCCACATGATGCAAAAAACATTTTGCCCTTGAACTGGGAGTTAGAAGCTTGATTCTTAAAGCCCCCTCTGAACTTCCTATAAAAATATATTGATAAAAGTTTGCTCTTTTCATCTGGCTTAGCCCATCACCAGCAAAGTCCCAGTGGTCCTGGGAATGGGTGACACAGGGAGCCATCACCTCCCCACCCCCAAGTGCTGTGGCGTGGGAAAGCCCTGAGCCCACATTCCTCAGCAGCACTCAGCACAGGAAGGCTCCTGCCTCCTCACTCAAACCTTTCACTAGCACTCAGCAAGGTAAATAAACCATACAGTCAGGGAGCTTCAGACTGTTCCTCTCACATGCGAGGAGAAGGGTGGAAATATTTGTTTACAGGAAGACACATTTACTCCCGCTCCCTGTGCCTTGGAGTAAGCACCTGCCACTTGCAGAAACTGTTTTCCCCTGTTTTCTTTTGCATTAAAGGCTTACTGAGCTGGCTGAAATGATCTTCCTGGAATAAATATCTGAAAAGAAGTGATTTTGCCTACCAGCACAGCATCGCCCTAGGAGCACATTTGTGCTCACACACAGAGCTCTCTCTCCTCAGCCTGTTTTGGTACAACTCATGGCTGTGCCACTGCTGCTTGCAAGTGTAACATTTTCAGGTGCTGATGCCCAAAATTTGCTTGTCTAAACCTCTTGATTGACTAAGGGGGGCACCTTAAAAACCTCAGTCTTAAGAAAGTCAAGAGTCTGCCTTCTCAAAAACCACATGTGGAAGTAGGACAGATAAAACCTGTAGGAGTCCAGGTGACAAAAAACCCCAAAGCCACAGGCTTCCTTTTTCTTTTTTCCTTTGGTGTCACATCCAACACAGGTGCTTTCAGCATGTACTATTTAAGCCCCAAAAATCACCTTAGTGTTAGAGATAGTGTGCCCTGACAAAACTAGCAGGTGAAGTCTCAGCCAAAGGTCAACTCTTAGTCTTCTTAGCTTTCTTAGATAATATCTAGAATAAAACAGATTTTACTTTGTTTTCCCTGTTTTCACAACTGTTTAGGATTTTAGTTGCTCACACACTTAAAATAAAAGTGGATGTGTTTGTCCACCTTTCACTTTCTTGAAAGGGATTCTTCTCACTTTAATGAGAAGAATGAAGAGAATTAAAAGACCATTTTACAATGGTGACAACTAAGTATAATGTTACAAAAGGGCCTTTTGCATGAAACCCTCAACAATATCAAAAAGCTAAGTGATAGAATTGATCTCTCTCCCCTTCCACAGCTTCTACAAGAGTTTGCAATTCCTCTGTGGTTTTCCAACCCTTGGAAAATCTGAGAGGGATGGACAAAGCCAATGCAGAGCTTTATCCTCGTGTGCATTCATCTCTCCTCAAGCAGTCACTCCCATTTTTCTTAATATCGAAGTATCAGCTGCTAAAAAAATAATAGCAGGGAGAATATGGAACAGTTTTAAGCACAGAGCAGTTTGTTCAGGGTAGCATAAGGCAGAAAGAAGCATAATACTGACAAGACTGTTTGCATGAGGTGTAAAACCACCTTTGTTTTGCTTCCATCAGAATGCAGGAATTCACACCAACACAACAATCCCAGGTATGCAGTCATAGAACTAATTAAGAAAAAGAAAACACAGTTTCTGCAGAAAGACAAAGCTTATATTGACCATAGGTGAAATTCTGCTAGCACAGAATGCTGTTAAATCCAATGCCTCAGCCAGAAATCAACGCCGTGGTGAGCGAGACAGCTCGAGCAGAGATTCACCTCCTTCCCTGGGCTGAGAGCCTGCACCTACGAGCTTTCCACTGCAAGTGCAGGGGGAGAAGTGGTGCAGCACGGGGCTGTGGGACTGACAGTGCCCAGAGCTGGCACTGCCAGGCTGAGCTGCACTCACCGTGCATCTGGTACGTGTAGGGCGCCTGTCCCGCCGCCGGCGCGCTGAAGCTGGAGCCGTAGCTGAGAAATCCACTCTGTCCTGGCGAGTGGCTCAGGCTGTCCTCTGTTTTAATGCCTTTGGGGAGCACAATGAGAACCAAGAGCAAGACATGAGTGCTGGTCATATGAAGATGTGAAAAAAGCAAGCGTAGGAATTAACAATTTTTCGGCTGGATTTTAACTTAGTAAACTTTTTTTTTTACACTTTCATTTACACACACACACATGTATATATATATAAAATATATAAAGATATGTGTTTAATTGTTGCCAAACAAATTCATCACAAATTTGAGTCAGCTCCATCCTGTATCCACACCCAAGTGCACTTTTGCTAAGATGGTTAAATAACCATGAATAATACTGCTTTCAAAAACAACTTCTGAACATATAGTTTTGTTACAGAATTGAAGAAACTCACTGACACATAAACTTCCTGAAGAGTTATCAGATGCAAGCAATGATTAACAACAGAACAGCACCTTCAGCAAAATAACTTCAAGATTTTTGTACTCAGAAGAGTAATTTTTTACTTGCATTGTATTTTCAGCTTTGGTACCAAAACATTTATTGGCAAGTCCTACAGGAGGGTTATCATCTACTCAGCTGGATATAACATACAGTTCAGGAACAATAGGTAAGCCCTGAAACCACAAAAATCTTTTCATTTCTAAAACCAGGCAATTAAGCTGACAATTTACAGGGGGAACAGCAATAGCTGAATTAAACATTGCAAGATGAAACCTTTGCTGGTAATGAAAGAAGTTGATATTTTATTCTGAGATGCTGCTGAGATTGTACAGCTGTATTATTAAAATAAACAGCTCAAAGGTGCAACATATTATGAACCCTTTGGGCGTGATCCTTCCCTCCTTTGCATCCTATTTGCACAACAGAAAATGGCCATTGGATACTCCCTGGGTGCTGGGATTAAACAAAGACCCTGCTGATGTTTGGGCCTTGGATTTACACACTCTCCATGCTGTTGTCATCTTTTAGCACTTGCAGGGAAACTTGTAGACAAGTTGAATTCAGGTGCCTTTCCCCAGCCATGCTCCTTTCTAGTTTAACTACAAGCAGCAAGTCTGTGCTTGCTCAGGTTTGGAATAAGTTCTCCCAGATAATATTTTCTCTAATAAAAATCGCTTATTATAGCTTTAGGTGAGAAGAACTGCCATGTAGTTTGAGCACAAGCTCATAACAAGATGACTGTGAAAAGCAGAAATTTATTTGGACAGTGAGGGGACAAGTGTTGGTGCAAGTGTGTGGTTTCATTGCTGCTGGGGAAGAGAAGTGTGTGCAGAGAAGGTTCTCTTCCCAACATCCAGTGCTTTCCTATTCCACCAGCACTCCACAGGCCAGCATTCAACCTACCCAGCCCAGTTACAATTAATCCTCAGCAAATGGGCCTCTCTGGAAGCCTAAAAATTGTTGTCAGACAGCAAAATAACTTAGCACCAAATTAATTTCCACATAATGTTTTGTTTTGTCTAGAAACTGGCTGAGTTTTATTTTTTGTGCCTAAAAACAATACTGCTTCATTGTTCTTGGTTGTCAGCCAGGTGGAGTTTTTCATATGCTGTGCTGAGTATCTTAGAGAGGGTGTAGGGGCTGAGGGAGGGAAACCACTGCTCAAGGATGCTAAGAGGTCACCCACAGGATTTATAAGCAGCATATGGGCCTGACACATGTATGCTCTAAAGCCTCTAGGCAGTAGCAAATGGCTCTACTTTCACCTGCTCTAACAGGACAACTGTTCAGAGTTTTCCTTGGAAGTCAGCCAGCTGATGCAAACACACAAATAGCTCCAGGAAAGGGTCTCAAAACGTTCCTCTCATCATCCTGGTAGAGCTTTGGCTCTGCCAAAGCCACTTCCCCAGCCCTCCAGCGTGCTGCACTAAATTTCCCTTCAGTAAAAGCTTTGTCTGTATAAAAACTTCTTGTTGGGAAGAGATACTGTATTTGTCAAGTAAACACAAAGGTGTTTAAGAGCACAAAAGAAAACAGGAGTGGAAACAAAACGAGGAATCCATTTTAATGGTGGAAGACTCAGCCCTCATGGGAGCAGTCAGAAGTAAGAAGCCCAAAGCTTTCTGGTAAAGAGCTGTAGCTAAACAAGAGCAGTATCTCTTTGGTCTTTAGGAGTAGAAAGAACTTTCAGGCTCCTCCAGAGCTTGGTATTCCCATGCAGAACTTAAGGACACTCAAGGCTTGGTTTACCAAGCATTCCTCTGTCAGGAGTGCTGGTTTAATTAGTTCCCTGTGCAAATCCCCCAGCTGCTCCTGCCCAGCACTGTCCCCCCACAGCTGTTGGTAAGGCTGTGCAGAAAAGCAGGGAATAAAGCTGACTGTTAAAGGTTAAAAATGTTGACTGCAGATAGAGCCAATAACTGTTCACTTAAACACAAACTGTCTTCCAAAACCAGGGTATTCTGTAACATCTCACCCATGTCTTATTCTGCTCTGCATTTTGGTTCTTCTATAAAAATAGACACAAAAATTTTCTCAAAGTAGCTTGTGTTATTGAAACTTCAGGAAGAATCAAGGACGAAGAGTAGTTTTCATAAACATCGTATTTACTGTACTTTGTCCTGACACTGAATCATGGGAACACTCACGAGCTACTACTCCTAAGTGTCACATCCTACTGAACCTGAACTTCTCATAGTTTACTACTAACTGGCTCCAAACTTAGCTAGTTTGCAAAAACAACCCATGATATGAAGAGCTGATAGGCTGAAAGCTGATATAGCTCAAGGTAAACCTAACATTTCTCAAGTCAGACTTTCCTCTCAGCCTAAGAAGACAACGGTGCTGAGACACAAATGACCACTTCACTCCAAGGCTTAAAGATTTTCAATCTGTTTTGCCAGCAGCAGGAGGTGATGTCCTCACAGGCCCCAGGACTGTGGAGTACTCACTGTAGGAGGGGATTCCGTAGGGCTGCCCCGGGGGAGGATAGGCAGAGTAGGCAGCAGCCTGCTGGATTCCTGTGCTGTACTGAGCCTGTCCATAGGCTGCCATCGTGGGGAAGGACGGGACTGTCACTATGTGGGGATAATGTCTATTCAGAACAAGAAAACAGAAGGGTTTATGGCAATAATAGTTACTGTACGTGAGCTTCTAGAGCACAAGCAGAACAGCTTTAGACATCTTGCTAAAATAACATTCAACACAGGATGCTGAGGATTTTGGGAACTTGGAATTGACTGGACTGAAGCAGAAGTTTGTTTTATGGACTATCAGATTAAGTCACCTAAATGCACAATGACTTTAAGACAGTGTAAAGTATAGGCAAGTTAATAAAATAAAATAAAATCAACACTGATTTTTCATGTTTCATTTTGAGTTTGCCGAACAAGTGGGTGCAATGGGAAACCTCAGACATTTCGACACATCCCCTCTGTGGTCACTCTAAACACAACAATATTCAAACTGATAAGATTTGGATACCCAGGGGTACAAAAACACACTTCACAGTACCTCAAACCTTATTTCACTCCATATCCGAGAAGATTAAGAACCAGCTACTTCACTGTGCCAGAGACGTGCGGGGGAACAGGTGGATGGGCTTAGGGCAGATGTTTTTTAAGGTGACAGAAGCCTGCATAAAATGGCTGTTCAGCAAGACATGGATTTTAAATTACAGCACTTGGCAGGAGCACTCACTTTGTGGTGTACAGATGGAGAGGACACTGTGGTGCTGCTTTGCTGCTGCCTGGAAAACAAAATTAAAGAGTCTTAGATTTTCATCGTGTTCTGTTCTACAGCCAAGCAGATACAATTGTTTTTACCACTGCTGGTGGGAGAAAAATACACAGGAATCAAAAGACTTTTTATTTTTTAGTTAATATTCCCAAACTGAGGTAGGTAAGAAAGATATTCTCTGCTAAACAACAAATACAGATTTAGTTTTTAATTGAGGGTGATACCAGTTGATTAAACTACCAGTTTCTTCTTCTCATGGGACTGATACCAGTCATGAAACTGGGCTTTGAAGCAATGACTCATATGCTAAAAGCTATAAAAGCCAATACTATGATTGCTGAAGTGATTTAAGCTCACTGCACATTATGATCTTTTTCTTTTTTTGGTACTCTCCTAGACCATGACTCACTTTCTTTAATGTCCATAAAAATATATCAAATAATAGTGAATATTAAAAACACAACATCATGAATCTCCTTAATTTGAATTTTTTGAGTTAACTGTAGCATACCTTATTGAACTACCAGCAATCAAAAACTTAAATCAGTAGGAAACCTATCATAAAAGTTCTATGTGCAAGCTGTCTTCTAATGGACCAAATTATTGTGTGCTGTAACACTACCGAAGAAAAATGTGCCATCAGCTTTATTCAGAGATAAATTTACATTTACCTAATTAAAAACTAAAAAGCCAAAACCAAACAAATAAAAAAAGCTAAATTAAAACCTGGATGTTGAACTGAAAACACCATAGCAAAATACCACCATGTACATTTTGCATGTTGCCTCCACAGTGCCATCCAAACTTTGCTTCTTGGTTCCTGGCTGGAGCTGTCATTAATTCAGCACTAAAAATGCCAAAACACTCTCACAATCATCAATAATGATGAAGCACAACTGATTCAGCCTCTGTGTCTCCTGGCTGCATTAATGCACACACCAGACTCACTGCACATGGCTTCTCCATTCACTTTCAGTGACCAAAACAGAACAACTTCCTTTGTTCAGACATTGGTCAGCTGGCAAATTAAACATTTAAACCACTTTTCATTTAATGAAATATGCAAATAGAGATAAAGTCTAAATACATGCAAACAATCCAAGAGGTTTGGGTAACTTGTACTGTAAACATGGAGAAAATGACCAAAAAGATCCAACATGCTCACATCTGAAATATTCGTTCATCCTGATTTAGATCTCTTGAAATTGTTCTTTCACACACAACCCTTTTTCACAACATTTTACATGGCTTGATCATTTTACACTCTAACATGGAGATTACACCAAACTATTTTTAAAAACATTGACATTTCATCTGTTAACTTTTATACCAAATTTGAATAAAAATTACATCATCACGAGTTCTTACTAAAAATATCAACTACTAGGTATCATTAAATTTTTAGAACGTTAGTTTATGTAATTAATGGTGAAACCTATACAAGCCTAATCACTAACAGGATTGCCCTAATCACTGACAGAAACAAAACCAGATTCTTTCTTCAAACCTTAGAAAAGTAAAAGTAAAAAATTACTTAGAAAAGTAAAAATGTGGTACAGTAATCTATTTCCCAAGCAACAGGCAGAGAGGTTTAGTTAAAAATACTGACAAAAGACAGTGTTATACAAATGTACATATTACTGACAAAGGATAATGTTATACACATGTGTCTATTCACTTACACATCCACAGATTAAAGAATGAGTTTAAATCCAAAACTGGGCTTACCTGAGTCACCTTCAAACTCACTATGAAAAATTTGCTTTGACTTACCTGAAAAATAACAGTTTAGACAATTAGACTGTGTTTCAGACTGTGAAAACAAGAACCACACCATTTCTGTCTGTCTCTCATTACGGAACTGCTCTGAAGAAATATACATTTTACAATTCATTTATTTAATTCTTAATGGCTTTTACATCAAAAAAACAGAAGACAGTTACATGGATATCTAAATGAGTAAGTACAATGACTAGAATTGCTAAATTTAATACTTTATGTGCAATACAGAGCATAAATTTGTGTGCGTTTATTACATTAAGAGTAATAATGTGAGTAATAATGAGTTATTACATTAAGAGTAATAATGTAAAATTCTCTGTCAGTCTGAGAATTGTCAAATACAGAAGTGTTTTCCTGTTCTTCAAATTAGCCAGAACTATTTTCAAGGGAAAGAGCAAAATCTTGGTAGCACAGGGGATCATTCTGTAGAAAAACCACCATAATATTTCTACAAGAAACAAATCAATGTGAGCTGTCACTGGCAAACTGGTATCCAACAGTACAACTCCTGTGCTGGCTCATTTATATCATATATATGAAAAAACAAAGTTCCTCCACCAAGATGTTTATAAAATGATGTACCTAAAAATCATTTCTAGCTCTAATCTTTTCTGCAAACATGGACATTTAAAAGGGTGTTTCCTTTAGGCTGTTATTCCTTCTACTGCTCTTGTAAATAGGCAGTCACGATGGGCTGGGCGTGATTTAACCACGCAATTCCTAATGCCTGAGCAAACATGCAAACAAAACATCTCCTGGGTTTCTAAGAG